TGGGTTTGGAATGTGACCTAGATTATTTGAATTGAGGTTAGTTACATTTTATATTTTTGTTTTTTTCTTATAATTTGTTCTTTAATTGCAAAGTAATATAATTATAAATATGTTTATTCTTTTTGTTTTATCAAAATTTTCATTTATATTAGTATGGTGACAAAATAAGAAATAAAATAACAATTAAGGGATTTCATTAACTGATGTATGTATATATATAGGGATGCTGCCCCTTCCTTAAACTCAATAGAACGAATCGGTGCTCATATTGCTCATATGAATTTTAAAGTGGACCATCTGGGATCATTATTTCGGTCATATCCACTGACCGAAGTTAAGTAACATATTTCTCACAAGCACATGCCAGCCACAAGCACTGCTCGGGGTGAGTGGCTTAATTCGGTCATAAATATTGACCGAACTAAGGTTACCATGTGGACTAGTTCGGTCATAATCCTTGACCGAACTAGTGCATGGACAATTGTGCTGCAGAAAAAAAACACACGTGCATTGGGTTTAGAAAAAAAAATTACATTCTATTCAAGAACCATAATATCTTTACTTTACCCATATATATTCTGCAATATATTGTCTAATTTCCCTTATCCATGTCTGAGAGATTAGGACACTTTAATTGTACTCTATATCATAACATTTTAATTAGGTTAAATACCCTTTTTGGTCCATCTACTATAAGAAAAAGCTCCTTTTTAGTCCCTATACCAAAAAAATCCCCTTTTTGATCCTTACTGTTTACAAATCCGGTCCCTTTTTGGTCCCTCCGTTAAATTTTGGCTTACATGGCATGTTAACTAACGGAAAACAGCTGATGTGGTATAATGTGGTATACCAACGCGTAAAATATGTTTATGTGGACTCCACGTCACCCTCCACGTCACTCCACTTCCTCCAGCTTTTTTTTTTTTTGTCCTTTTTTCCTTTTACCTTCAGGCGAACCCAACTCGCGGGTTTGTGATGAACCCAGGCGCCTGGGTTCATCGCAAACCCAGGATGAACCCAGCTTGCGCGACTGGGTTCGCGACTGGGTTCGCAATGAACCCAGCTCATGTGATTGGATTGGCAATGAACCCAGCTCGCGCCTGGGTTCACGACATACCAGACGCAAGCTGGGTTCTCAATCTCTGCCAAGTTGCGAACCCAGGTGCGAGCTGGGTTCTCAATCCCTGCCAAAAAAAGGAAAGCATGTTCTTCTCAAACAAACAGTTCTAGAAACATCCAACAACAGAAAACACAAGAGCAGCAAAAATTTCAGGAAATTGAAAATTGAGGATTTGAAATTCCAGCACTCAATGTCAAAACCTATTCAACTTTGATCACAGA